GGTCAAGTCAAACCAAGTTAAGTATTTGCTTTATTCACCCCGACATGTGAATATTCTGCAACCATGTAGTTAAAGTAGAAACAATAAGCAAGCAAAATTACACCAGAATTGTGGAAATCAAGGACAAAACAAAACAATTTACGATATGAGTGAGTTTAGTTCAGAAGCGATGTGTTCTGAGCTAACAAGAAATCAGACAGGATAAGGCACCACTGAAGACCGATAGGCGATTGGGTGTGCAAATATATAGTTATGGCGAGACCGGGTGGAAGAAGAGGACACCTACTTTATGAAAGCTGCGTGTAACGGATGCGAAGGGCTGTTCACGATTTTTGTGGATAACGAAAGACATGACTTTCTGTGTTGTGAAACGATGAAGGAAAAGAATTTCACAGAAAATCCTGCTACTTCTGGATAAATGTGCAATTTAAATTTCCTCTTCAGCATCCCTAGGAAGATTACGGGGTACTCGTACAGCCAGAGGTTCAAAACCCAAAGCAAAACGATAACGGTGAATCGTGAAACGAGGGACGGATAAAACTTCCAGGCTTAGGATATGAAATGATCATTTTCTGACCTTTCCAAATATAGAAATAATGTGGCAGACCAGCATAAATTTCGGTTGACGAACGTACCGAGATACCTAACATTTACGGGTTGGATAGTGGTATCATCCCGTATGTTTATGGAGAGCGGCGGTGCAGAAATTGGTTAGGGTCCTGCACATTCAGCTGAGTTGACATTCCTTAAAGGAGTAACTTGTCGAAGAGCTTAAACATAACAGACGGGCATGAAATTTTGAGTTTCCTCTTTTAGGCACCGGAGTGATGGAGGCAGATTTCTAACTGTCGGGTACAACTCAGTTTTCCAAGCACTGGCTAAACAGAGCTGTTAGCACTGATGAAAGTGTGTGAGCGCACTCCTTAAGGATGGCAGCCTCCAACCTGTCGGGTCCGGGTGATTTATTCCGTTTGAGAATCAGCAACTCCTTCAAAATATCCTCTTGTTGAATAGTGAAGGGTTCTGTACGGCTGAGATCCGTGTTTGTGCTTGTGGTACTAGTCCGACTGATGAGTAGGCCAGTTCATTGATCAACTTAGCTTATGCTGTAAAAGATATCAGAACCGTGCTTCGTATGTGAACAGAAATGAATTTTCAGAGTGATCGGCAAGACAACCCGTAAAATGATACGGAGCAAGATAAACACCTGTGATTTTATTTTGTGTGTTGTTCCCCAGGCTTCGGAAATGACGGTTATAGTCAAATTTTGTCTGTAGCAATACTTTATTTATTATTTTTGCAATAACCTAGAGTGAGGAAGTCAATAACTTAAATCGTTATTTACGTTTCATTTAGCCTTTCCGTTTATCCTACAGAAAATAAATTATGGATATTTTCGTTGCTTGAACTCGCTGGAACAAAACTGTCCTATTTTTATAAAACCAAGATGACCTTTAGCTAATTTTGACAAAACGTGCTTGATTTTATCAAACTAATAATAATGCCGGGGTTTTCATTGTGTGGGAGCATGCTGAATGTGTGAAATTCTCGAAATGGATCAGGTGCCGTTTTCAGATTGTTTAAGTGAATTTAAACAAATTCTTTGCTTACTATGAGACAAGTTCAAACGTGTAAACTGGCACAGTCCGGGGAGAGAAACTTTGACATTGGACATACTTATCTGTGGTGGTGATAATAGTGACAACGATGTTGACAATGGTGATGGTGGTGGTGAGGCTGGCGACGAAATATTCGCCCCGCTATTTGACTAAAATAACAGGGAGGCAGACCATGATTTGAGGTACTGCACCTGGGTCATCCGATCTTCAAGGGAATCGGCTCCAACCTGCCTCGTACGACATCAAAAAGCGCAAAACGATCTAAGATCAAAATATGAGCTGGCCAATGGGTCGTTCCTATCTATGCAAACTGATTCCAAACTAACCATAAGTTTACAGAAGGCGTCGAGGAGCACACGCACCTGTGGCACAGATTCAGGTGACAGCTAGGCCCCGTCTAAGATGCCAGATCGCATGAACAAAGCTTCAGCCATCAAACTATGACTTAATAAAATAGAAACCACCTCATCGAATGGGTTTAATGAGGGGAAGCAAACTGGGACACTGAAACAGACGTGTGAAACATGATTACTAGTACAATTACTAGACAGAACATACTTTGGTTTTCCAACTTTAAATNTAAATTAATGATTAAGCCAATACAAATCAATATAAAGTTCAACGTGTTGGATGAAAGCTCTACGGGGAATCAAGTCCCTTTTCTCTGAGAAATGCTCAAACATCGGACTTTGGTGACAATCAAGCTTATACCTTAGAGTGCGTGGTTGGAACCCCCAAAAAAGCTCTACCATGCTCACAGAACGAATGTATTTATTTGTCAAACACGTAAAAATTAGCCAGAACAACTGTCAATAGATTAATTGACTAGTTTAAGTTTTTCAATACCTTATTACTGAACTTCAAAGAAAAATGTATTCCATTAAGTTAGTGACTGGTGTACTATCCCCAATGCCCCTCAAAACCATGGGATAGTTGTGCGAACTACTGCCCGACGATGGACTTCACTTACATGATGAAAACGGTGAATGATATGGGTGCAATTAAAAAAACGAAAGAACGAATGTTGTGTCGAGAACAGTTGCTCCAAGTGAATTTCTACGAATAAGTGACCAATTGTAGGAAGTAGTTTACTATTTTTAAGAAAGTAATCACTCGTATAACATATACGCGCTCCTAAAAACTCCTCTTGCTAGTTCGACTAATATTGGTTTGATTCCTAGGATCGAAACTACAGTGTACGAGTGTGGGAGGGGGTAGTTAAATCGCTTGTGATTGTTCAAGTATTTGGTGTTGTTTTTATTCTTGGAGTGCACAGGGTCTGAGTAAATTGTTTTTGCCTGTGCCGGGTGCCCCCTGGTTTGGACACACTGCTACTGTTCAGTAGGGAACTAAAAGAAAAAATGGTCGATTTGATTGGTTGAATTTAATTTCGCTTTTTTATATTTCATGCTCATATGCACACTCAACTGGACACATTGCTCACTCAACCTTGTGAGGGTTTCTAGGTGATTGTGCACGAAAATTGTATTCCATGTTCCAATAACTCGGCTATTGATTAAGTGGCCGGTAAAATGACAGAGTCCTTCTCTTTTGTTCTGAATCAGTTTTTTCATCAGTATGTATATTTGTTCTACTTCCTCGTACTTTAGTACACATTTCTATTCACTGATAATCTATTTCCGCTTGCTTTGATCGACTATCATATACATATGTTGAATATTTTTTCGAACAAAACATTCATACTTTGTGTGCTTAACAGCTGATCCCTGCGCAAAACAAAACCAATTCACATGCCATATGGGTCGAAATTATCAGGGAGAACCCAAATGCGTTCCTATGGATATGCTTTGCAACGGTCATCCGGATTGTCCCGCTGGGGACGATGAATCCGACGGACCACGAACAAACTGCACAAAAATCGACAGTTGTGAGATAAACAATGGTGGATGTAGCCAGGTCAGTGTAAATGTCCGGGATAGTGCAGCAGCATTTTACATTATAAAGTTCTTCACGATTTTTTTTACAGTATTTCACCCATCCATCCATCCATCACTTCATTATTACCAATCAATCAGTCAATCAATCAATCAATCAACCAAGCTACCACCCAACCCGTCCGTCAATAAAATGATCTTAAGTTGAAAGATTTACTAATCATTGAATAATTCAAATATTCACTCGCTATTACCGCCAAGGAATTTATGGGTAGTCGTTATATTTGTTGATTGACTATTGTCATACCCATAGGATCTTGTAAGTTATGGTACCAAATACCTTATAATTATGCGCAGTCGAATTTCTCCTGTTTATTCCCGAGCAGTATAATTTTGTCTACTCAGGACAACACCGTTTCGATATTTGAAGCGTTTCCAGTGAGATTTCTGAACAGTAAAGTTTAAGATAAACATTTTCTTTCCTCAAGTACACTCGTCATCTCTTGGTTAATCAATTATAGTGAGAGCACGAACTTGGGATTTACCGAAAGTTTGTTACGGTCTGGAGTATTTTATCTGCTATCAGAGCAGATATGAGTTTGGTGCGTTGTCACACATCTGTGTCATTTCCTCTGACATGCACCAGTTCAACATAATTCAGTCGTTTCATGTGTCCGAATACGAGGTTTATCAATGATTGTCGAGAATTCGAATCCCATTATCATTATCCCTGGTGCCGCCTAAATTTTCCTTTTCTTTGTCTGTCTTGACAACCTTTTATTTGGTCACAACTTGTTCCTGAAAAAGGGTTTTCTTCCTCTTAATTTAATCGTTTATTTCCTTTTTAGTGAATATACAGCGGAACAATAACTTTTACTGATGGGGAAGTAGCCGACCAAAAGGCTACCATGTATCGCAAAAGAGACGAAAAGTTAGACAGAGGAGTGGGTGTGGGGCGTTGACGTGATGTTGATCAATATATCCTGACTGGTATTGCCTTTAAATAATTTCCGTAGTTTGTCTTTTACTGTTCACCGTAACTTCCCCACCCCACAGCTATGCAGCAGCGTCAACGGTCATGCCAAATGTGACTGTGCCCCAGGCTATCTGAGTCTTCCAGATGCTCCACGGTCATGTATCGCCCGCGGCGATAAGGCCATATTATACACTACACATGGTCAACTGTATCAGCGCTTCTTAGGTAAAAATATCACTCGAGTTTTGCAGTTCGGAGTCGGGTCGTCCACTTCAAACGCCTCTGTGCTGATTCCCACGGTGAGTAACAACTCGGTCTTCTACGATTCGTGTGACTGCGTTACTTGTTTTGCGTGCATGTGTTTACTGTATTCGATCATGTGTGTACATACGTATTTGTGTGTGTGCCTGCGTGCAGGCAGTCGCGGTTAAATGCAGGCTCTTGTCTGTTTATTTGCTCATCATGCATGGTTCGGTGGGAACGAAGCCAGTCATTTTTTGTTGACTGTCGGCCATAGAGGAGATAATGAAGATGGTGGACAAATGGCGTGATCAGCTATGACCTTTCTCTACGAATGTACTTCTAAAATCCGCCTGATGTTGTCATAGTCCACCTATGAACTCATATCATGGTTTGTCGCATGTGACAATCCATGACGGTGTAAACGATGGTGATAATCATCGAGTTGTGAAAAGATTAGTGCTAACAGTGTGACCTCGTAGCTCGGCTGTCTACAGCGTGGGCTTTCGCATAAATCACGTCGACACATCACGGTGGATCTGATCCACTTCTGATTCTGCCTCTATCCATAGAAAATGATTTTCTGAAAATCAAGTGATCCGCGTTATTTCCTCACTGCATATAAATGACCAATATCGTGTTCGGGATGGCGGTAGTGGTTCAACAGAGATCTAACAAAAAATAGTTTTCTCCGATTCAGCTCTGTCACTCAAATTTACACATGTGGACAAAAATCCCCGTCACCCAAATGCAGATTTACGGCT